AAACTTGAGTTTGAATTCAAAAAAAATAAAGATCGGGTTCAATTCATTTATCAGATAAATATTATACAAGTTAATATCTAATGAAATTAATGTGGAAATACACCCATGGTGCGGAGAAATTAATCTGGAGGCCAAGTTCAAACCCAAAACAGGCCATTTTGTGGCCCTGTGCAATTCCCAAATGGCACCGTTAATTAGTGCACGAGATATATAATTTTATTACTGGATTGTGATTCTCGCTACCATTTGGTACATGCTACTCCAACAACATGACGGTCTTTATTGTAATCATCTTTTTCACCGGCAAAATAACATTATAGTTTTCTACGCTCCGAAGGATGCAAGCTTAGGCTTACTAGGAGGCTTAACCAAAAACACGTCAAGAAGCCTATCAATTGAAGTATACTTGTACTCAGGGTATAACTCCGACACCCCCAAATCTTCCTCAGTTAGCTCAAAGCTCGTTTGATCGCCTTTCACAAATATGCTGTGCAGGATTGCCGGCGGCGCGTTTTCCGGACTAGGCAATGCTACAATGAATGAAAAAATACACAGTATTTCTTATACATGCCACAAGACATAAACATTTTTTTTTTTGAAAAGCAAAAGGAATATTTATTGAAACGGAGTACAAGGGTACCCAAATCCGTTAACATCTCAGATTGAAAGGCAAAGAGTTAGTCAAAAAGCCCTTCCGTTAGGTGTCGACACCTATATTGTGTGTCGACACCACGTCCGTGTCGGGATTAAAAAATCCTCAGCCCTTCCAGAATGCCATAACCTCCCTTGTTGATATATTTGGCTTTGGAGTTCCTTAGTTTCTTTTCTGGTACGTCTCAATTGTTTGCAGCATGCTGGTATTCATCAGCCTCCTCACATCCTTCCTTGATACTGTGATGGCTAGTATCTATCTGCACAAATTTGATTCCTTTTAACACGTAGCCTTTTCATACTTTCTTTGGGCTCTAGTATCCAATCTGTGAGGGAGACGTCCCAGTTCTTGCATTTTGCTTTCACCCATTCCCATGAGCTGACTTGAATTTGATTGTAGACCCTTTCAATCTTCGGTTTCTTTCCATGGAATACACAATTGTTCCTAGCCAGCCATAGGGCCCATGCATATGCGAACCATATAATCACCCAGCCTTCCCTTTCTCTGTTTTCTGTGAATTTTCCCCATTGTTGAGAAAAATCCTCTCGACAGTTGCTTGCTCGTGCCGAAGATATTCCCCACCATTTTAGACACTTTCCCCATATATTGTATGCTTTTTGACAATGTAGAAACAGATGGTTTGAAGTTTCCACGTCTTCTTCACTCATAGCACATGTCAACATGCTTTCGTTGCTTAAAATTCCTCTTTTGAATAGCTCAAATTTAGTTGGAATTTTGTTCTGCACCAGCTGCCATACCATAGTGCAGATCTTGTTAGGTACCAATGGGTTCCAAATTTTTTCATACGGTACCTCTTTGGTTCGATGAGGCCTTGATGTCAGGAATTGATATGCTGACTTTGTGGAGTAGCCAGCCCTACTATCTAATATCCAAAGCCACTTGTCCTCGTTTCCTTGATTGGGTTGAATCGGTGTGATTGCATCCAACAACTCTTTTTCCATCACTTTTTCCCACTCCCTAAGATCTCGTTTCCACTTCAAGTTCCATCTCCACCGGCCATCTTCCCATATACTCATTTGGTTCACCGGATACTGTCTCCCTGTTGAAAGTAAATACAATCTTGGAAACAGGTTAGATAAGACGCCTATTCCTACCCATTTATCACTCCAAAAACTCACTTGTTTTCCTTCCCCTAAAGATAACCGCACATTATTCTCCAACCACC